CAGACCTTGACTGTACCTCCGTGGAGCTGCTGACGTGGTGTAACCGCTGCGTCGGGACTGGATTTCCGTAGTTGAATGTAGCCGCCTTGACTGCTGGACTCGCCTTTAAAGTTGAAATCCGCTGCCTTGACTGCTCGACTCGCCTTTGGAAATTTAACTCCGCCGCTTTGACTGCTCGCCTCGTCCTCAGCTTCTTGAAACTCCTGTACTCGACTGCGCCAGTGTAATAAGCCTGGATGCTTGGTACCTACTATCGTAGCACTGACAGTAGATAAGTGGCAACCAAGTTATTATTAGATCAGGTCGCAGACACTTTATTTGATGTTGTAGTCGTGGTAGACAATAAATGATAAGACAGATGTAATGTATTGTGAAGTTTTATTATAATGTTCGATAATTTTTCTAAGTCCAAATAATATTCAACAGAGTGGCGTGAAGGTGCTTGCACTAATGGGTGGTAGTACACGTCTGAATACAGGCCGATTCGGGCTCCCTTATATATGAGGTTCCCCATACCCCTTGCCTACATATACGATATCTCGGTTCTCACGGATGTGATTTGTGTGCTCATCATCCCAGCCCACACATCTGTGGTTGACTGTATTATCAACTATGGCTTATTATTAAAATAATATTCTACTCTTGTTTTTTTTATTTGAATTTCGTCGTATGTATTCGGTGTTTTCCCCATGATTATTATTTTAATTCTGGATCTCGTTGTATATGTTCAGTATTTCTGTGGTATATTACAACGCCTATTTTTGAACCCTAATTTCCTTACTACCCGGTTATGCCGGTCTATCGTATATTATAATAATGACTATGTATGTACTCATGAATTTGGTGTTACTCCGTAGTAACTGGCTTACTACACTATTATATATCTATGATAGTATCATGGTTTGTTGTTGATGTTGATGTATAACGTGTTATAAGTACCTAATGGATATTGTGATAATGTGATATGATTAATTTGGAATTTATTACAGGTCAATTTTTTTTTTTAATACCATAGATTTGTATATAATTTGTCTTAAACCTAGACTGACCTACCGTCTTCGCTCAGAATCGTTTTTCTTATACAATGATATTGTATCATTGAATTCAAATTTAATAGCATCCATTATACAGTGACCCACTTGTAACCTACTGTACAACAGAGCGACATCCACTTACCCACCTTTTTATATATATTTTTAACATTTTTTATGTTTAATTCATTGGAGGAAAATTATTATGTACATTTGATACCCAAGTGGCTTCCATGCTATTTATTTGCAGGTGTTAACTGTGTTAGCCGTTTATAGGCATACTGCAAATGACAAAAATTCCACTGCTAGGCCTGTATTTATTAACTAAATTATCTCTAGTAGTGTTCATACAATCGGCTCTCATTGGCTGTATTCTGCTCATTACTCTTGATTGAGAATATTATAAATGACATCATATTACGGGTGTGAAGTGAGCAATATACTCTACAGCATTTATTGATAAGGGTGTTCATTTTAGCCGCAACAATTCAAAGATTTATACTCCGCTAGAGGGAGCAACTTCCATAGTCTGCTGGGTCTGGTATCCCGTCAATTGATCGAAAACAGTTGGTCGCATGACAATTGCTCGAAAACTTTTGTTCGAAATACAAGTTTGAAGTTCTTGACTTATAAATCATTATAATCAGTGCAAATTTTTTTAATTCTCTTAGCCCTATCTCGGTATTTTTTTTTTTCTGAGGGTCTATGCCACATATATATTGCTCAATTTTGAGTCGATTTATGCTTTCTTCTTTCTTTAAAGCTTCAATAAAATGCCATATTGATGGATGTTTTCCACTTAAGATTGACGTAAAACAGTTATGCCAACCTTCAACGGAATTATTTGTTGTTGCTATATCTTGTTCTATTCTTAAAAAACAGTTCCACATTTCAATTTCAATTTTTGGTTGTTTTCGTCTTCTTCGTCTGTCTAATTTGCCTAACCAGGTATTTTCGAAATAGTCTAAAAATTGTTCTAATATTTCTTCATTTTCTTTATAATAATTACTTTCAATTAAAACACTATATGAACTTATTACATCATCCTTAGGAACAAATGCTAAAGCTGGTAACATTCTTAATTGCAATGCAAATTCAGGGTCTTCACTGTATTTTTTTTGCAAGCCAAATTCCTGAACATGACGCCACATACACTGGGACAAATGAAAAAAACACCCGTTTACTTTAGTACTAGGAAATAACTGGTTTTTTTAAAGTTCGACAACCTTCCGGAAAGACTCCACGCTTCAATTTACTATCAAATGAAAGCTTGTAAAATTTCCTACAAAATTCGTTCTCATAAAAAGTTGTACAAAAGTGTTCTACTTTAGGTAACCGACCGGTAAAGTCAACGATATTGAATACAATACGAAAATTACATGTTAAAACCTTTATTATGGTTTGGTTTTTTTAAAGTTCGACAACCTTCCGGAAAGACTCCACGCTTCAATTTACTATCAAATGAAAGCTTGTAAAATTTCCTACAAAATTCGTTCTCATAAAAAGTTGTACAAAAGTGTTCTACTTTAGGTAACCGACCGGTAAAGTCAACGATATTGAATACAATACGAAAATTACATGTTAAAACCTTTATTATGGTTTGGTTTTTTTAAAGTTCGACAACCTTCCGGAAAGACTCCACGCTTCAATTTACTATCAAATGAAAGCTTGTAAAATTTCCTACAAAATTCTTTCTCATAAAAAGTTGTACAAAAGTGTTCTACTTTAGGTAACCGACCGGTAAAGTCAACGATATTGAATACAATACGAAAATTACATGTTAAAACCTTTATTATGGTTTGGTTTTTTTAAAGTTCGACAACCTTCCGGAAAGACTTCACGCTTCAATTTACTATCAAATGAAAGCTTGTAAAATTTCCTACAAAATTCGTTCTCATAAAAAGTTGTACAAAAGTGTTCTACTTTAGGTAACCGACCGGTAAAGTCAACGATATTGAATACAAGACGAAAATTACATGTTAAAACCTTTATTATGGTTTGGTTTTTTTAAAGTTCGACAACCTTCCGGAAAGACTCCACGCTTCAATTTACTATCAAATTAAAGCTTGTAAAATTTCCTACAAAATTCGTTCTCATAAAAAGTTGTACAAAAGTGTTCTACTTTAGGTAACCGACCGGTAAAGTCAACGATATTGAATACAATACGAAAATTACATGTTAAAACCTTTATTATGGTTTGGTTTTTTTAAAGTTCGACAACCTTCCGGAAAGACTCCACGCTTCAATTTACTATCAAATGAAAGCTTGTAAAATTTCCTACAAAATTCGTTCTCATAAAAAGTTGTACAAAAGTGTTCTACTTTAGGTAACCGACCGGTAAAGTCAACGATATTGAATACAATACGAAAATTACATGTTAAAACCTTTATTATGGTTTGGTTTTTTTAAAGTTCGACAACCTTCCGGAAAGACTTCACGCTTCAATTTACTATCAAATGAAAGCTTGTAAAATTTCCTACAAAATTCGTTCTCATAAAAAGTTGTACAAAAGTGTTCTACTTTAGGTAACCGACCGGTAAAGTCAACGATATTGAATACAATACGAAAATTACATGTTAAAACCTTTATTATGGTTTGGTTTTTTTAAAGTTCGACAACCTTCCGGAAAGACTTCACGCTTCAATTTACTATCAAATGAAAGCTTGTAAAATTTCCTACAAAATTCGTTCTCATAAAAAGTTGTACAAAAGTGTTCTACTTTAGGTAACCGACCGGTAAAGTCAACGATATTGAATACAATACGAAAATTACATGTTAAAACCTTTATTATGGTTTGGTTTTTTTAAAGTTCGACAACCTTCCGGAAAGACTCCACGCTTCAATTTACTATCAAATGAAAGCTTGTAAAATTTCCTACAAAATTCGTTCTCATAAAAGTTGTACAAAAGTGTTCTACTTTAGGTAACCGACCGGTAAAGTCAACGATATTGAATACAATACGAAAATTACATGTTAAAACCTTTATTATGGTTTGGTTTTTTTAAAGTTCGACAACCTTCCGGAAAGACTCCACGCTTCAATTTACTATCAAATGAAAGCTTGTAAAATTTCCTACAAAATTCGTTCTCATAAAAAGTTGTACAAAAGTGTTCTACTTTAGGTAACCGACCGGTAAAGTCAACGATATTGAATACAATACGAAAATTACATGTTAAAACCTTTATTATGGTTTGGTTTTTTTAAAGTTCGACAACCTTCCGGAAAGACTCCACGCTTCAATTTACTATCAAATGAAAGCTTGTAAAATTTCCTACAAAATTCGTTCTCATAAAAAGTTGTACAAAAGTGTTCTACTTTAGGTAACCGACCGGTAAAGTCAACGATATTGAATACAATACGAAAATTACATGTTAAAACCTTTATTATGGTTTGGTTTTTTTAAAGTTCGACAACCTTCCGGAAAGACTTCACGCTTCAATTTACTATCAAATGAAAGCTTGTAAAATTTCCTACAAAATTCGTTCTCATAAAAAGTTGTACAAAAGTGTTCTACTTTAGGTAACCGACCGGTAAAGTCAACGATATTGAATACAAGACGAAAATTACATGTTAAAACCTTTATTATGGTTTGGTTTTTTTAAAGTTCGACAACCTTCCGGAAAGACTCCACGCTTCAATTTACTATCAAATGAAAGCTTGTAAAATTTCCTACAAAATTCGTTCTCATAAAAAGTTGTACAAAAGTGTTCTACTTTAGGTAACCGACCGGTAAAGTCAACGATATTGAATACAATACGAAAATTACATGTTAAAACCTTTATTATGGTTTGGTTTTTTTAAAGTTCGACAACCTTCCGGAAAGACTTCACGCTTCAATTTACTATCAAATGAAAGCTTGTAAAATTTCCTACAAAATTCGTTCTCATAAAAAGTTGTACAAAAGTGTTCTACTTTAGGTAACCGACCGGTAAAGTCAACGATATTGAATACAAGACGAAAATTACATGTTAAAACCTTTATTATGGTTTGGTTTTTTTAAAGTTCGACAACCTTCCGGAAAGACTCCACGCTTCAATTTACTATCAAATGAAAGCTTGTAAAATTTCCTACAAAATTCGTTCTCATAAAAAGTTGTACAAAAGTGTTCTACTTTAGGTAACCGACCGGTAAAGTCAACGATATTGAATACAATACGAAAATTACATGTTAAAACCTTTATTATGGTTTGGTTTTTTTAAAGTTCGACAACCTTCCGGAAAGACTCCACGCTTCAATTTACTATCAAATTAAAGCTTGTAAAATTTCCTACAAAATTCGTTCTCATAAAAAGTTGTACAAAAGTGTTCTACTTTAGGTAACCGACCGGTAAAGTCAACGATATTGAATACAATACGAAAATTACATGTTAAAACCTTTATTATGGTTTGGTTTTTTTAAAGTTCGACAACCTTCCGGAAAGACTCCACGCTTCAATTTACTATCAAATTAAAGCTTGTAAAATTTCCTACAAAATTCGTTCTCATAAAAAGTTGTACAAAAGTGTTCTACTTTAGGTAACCGACCGGTAAAGTCAACGATATTGAATACAATACGAAAATTACATGTTAAAACCTTTATTATGGTTTGGTTTTTTTAAAGTTCGACAACCTTCCGGAAAGACTCCACGCTTCAATTTACTATCAAATGAAAGCTTGTAAAATTTCCTACAAAATTCGTTCTCATAAAAAGTTGTACAAAAGTGTTCTACTTTAGGTAACCGACCGGTAAAGTCAACGATATTGAATACAATACGAAAATTACATGTTAAAACCTTTATTATGGTTTGGTTTTTTTAAAGTTCGACAAACTTCCGGAAAGACTCCACGCTTCAATTTACTATCAAATGAAAGCTTGTAAAATTTCCTACAAAATTCGTTCTCATAAAAAGTTGTACAAAAGTGTTCTACTTTAGGTAACCGACCGGTAAAGTCAACGATATTGAATACAATACGAAAATTACATGTTAAAACCTTTATTATGGTTTGGTTTTTTTAAAGTTCGACAACCTTCCGGAAAGACTCCACGCTTCAATTTACTATCAAATGAAAGCTTGTAAAATTTCCTACAAAATTCTTTCTCATAAAAAGTTGTACAAAAGTGTTCTACTTTAGGTAACCGACCGGTAAAGTCAACGATATTGAATACAATACGAAAATTACATGTTAAAACCTTTATTATGGTTTGGTTTTTTTAAAGTTCGACAACCTTCCGGAAAGACTTCACGCTTCAATTTACTATCAAATGAAAGCTTGTAAAATTTCCTACAAAATTCGTTCTCATGAAAAGTTGTACAAAAGTGTTCTACTTTAGGTAACCGACCGGTAAAGTCAACGATATTGAATACAATACGAAAATTACATGTTAAAACCTTTATTATGGTTTGGTTTTTTTAAAGTTCGACAACCTTCCGGAAAGACTCCACGCTTCAATTTACTATCAAATTAAAGCTTGTAAAATTTCCTACAAAATTCGTTCTCATAAAAAGTTGTACAAAAGTGTTCTACTTTAGGTAACCGACCGGTAAAGTCAACGATATTGAATACAATACGAAAATTACATGTTAAAACCTTTATTATGGTTTGGTTTTTTTAAAGTTCGACAACCTTCCGGAAAGACTCCACGCTTCAATTTACTATCAAATTAAAGCTTGTAAAATTTCCTACAAAATTCGTTCTCATAAAAAGTTGCACAAAAGTGTTCTACTTTAGGTAACCGACCGGTAAAGTCAACGATATTGAATACAATACGAAAATTACATGTTAAAAAATTTGTTATGGTTTGGTTTTTTTAAAGTTCGACAACCTTCCGGAAAGACTCCACGCTTCAATTTACTATCAAATGAAAGCTTGTAAAATTTCCTACAAAATTCGTTCTCATAAAAAGTTGTACAAAAGTGTTCTACTTTAGGTAACCGACCGGTAAAGTCAACGATATTGAATACAATACGAAAATTACATGTTAAAACCTTTATTATGGTTTGGTTTTTTTAAAGTTCGACAACCTTCCGGAAAGACTCCACGCTTCAATTTACTATCAAATGAAAGCTTGTAAAATTTCCTACAAAATTCGTTCTCATAAAAAGTTGTACAAAAGTGTTCTACTTTAGGTAACCGACCGGTAAAGTCAACGATATTGAATACAATACGAAAAT